CTATACATAAGGGTTGGTCTAGGATGGCTCCAAGAAACATAAGCACGTGAGCGCTGCTTCCACACTGCACAATTCCTCAGCACGGAGTCCCTTAACAAGAGAAAGCTCTGGGCAATGGAAATCCTCGGCTCAGCCAACATTTGTTTATCTGTGCATTGGGGTGCATGTCCACGAATGCACCATGGACAATATGTGAAGATCAGAGAACAATCTCCAAGAATCATTCTCTCCTTCCACAACTTGGGTCCCAGAGATCAAAGTTATGTCTTTGACGTGGAGACAAACAGCTTTATCCACAGAGCCATCTCACTAGCCCAAAGCTGTAGTTTTGAAAATGAGCTTTGACGATTGAAAGAAAAAGGAAGAAATCGAGCATTGTTTTCCTTTGAGGAACTAAACCTAATAATGTTTCTATGAAAAATCAGCTTAAATATCAGTGGAATCAACATGTTCAGCCTGTAAATTGGCAGTGACATGACCTCTCCGGCGGGATCTGGTGACTGCGATGTTTCCTCAGTGGTCCAGTATTTGCCTGGCAGGTCTAAGGGCATGAGTGTGAGCCTCGCCAAACACACACAGGGACAAAAATGAGAACTTGCTGATAAATTCTGAGAGTAAAAGCGGATGCAGTGAAAAAGCTTCACAACAAAAGGAAACTTAAATGGAGACCCCTTGTCCCTTACTCCCTTCTGTCTGCAGTTGTGTGTGCATGAAACAGCACGCACTCATTGCTTAGGAGGAAACCACAATTTGGGGGAGACATACCCATGAAGTCTTCAGTGAATGCAGCCTTGCATGTTTGGCATGGATGTCTGCCACTGAAACATCTTTGGTGCGCAGTATTCCCAACAGGCTTGCGATGATCACATCGCTGATTTGCTGTGTCTCAACATTTACTATGTATTACCAGATAAAGCAAATGATTAATTGCAATGCTGTTGTTGGGAACTTTGATTGGCAGCCTGCCAGAAAGAAGACACAGACAGATATAAGACAGGCATGCCAAAAAGCATGGTGGCCCCAAGTTCAAAGACTCAGTTTGATCATCATTATCTTATTTATAAACTGCATAAATTTCATAGTCTACCTCTGCCCACTCCAAAGGCCAAGAAACAAAGATCCAAACTGTAATAAGGAGCGCACAGTGCCATGGTTTATGTTCTTTTAATAACTAGAAGAATCAAGGGTCTTTGGAGAATGTCTGGAAACAGGTCCACAGGAGGCCACAGATAAGTGCTGAAATGCTCAATGGGAGGGGGGAGGGAGGGAAAGAGAAAGGAAAAGAGGGAGGGAGGGGGAGGGAGGGAGGGAGAGAGAGAAAGAGAGAGAAATGGAGGGAGGGAGAGGGAGGGAGAGAGAGAAAGAGAGAGAAAGGGAGGGAGAGAAGGAAAGAGAGGGGAGGAAGCTATCCATGATCCCTATTGAGCATCAAAAGCATGCAAATCCAATGTGAAGAGGCTCCCACAGACTATAAAATAAGACTTTCAGAGCATATGTTATACTTTATGATAAATTGAATTACAAAAATTCAGGTACACTCAACTGTTAGTATGTAAACATTAGAAGTTATGAACATGAGAGTCAATTCAGAGGATGCAAGGAACTATTGCGCCAGAGCCAGCCAGTCTTCTGTCTGACGGTAACCGAATCAGGAAAGTTTCTCTCTAGAAAGTATGCCAGCAATTGAAAGATAAGGAAAAACACCACCATTTTGCAACCCTAATACCCTTCCTCTAGACAGTTATCACTAGTGGTTTCTACCATAAAAAAATAAAAATGTAGGATATTTTTTCTTTAAAAGTATCACATGATGCTCTTGGCAAAAAAAAATAGTCATTGGATCTGAATCCAGTCAGTCTCAATACATAAAACCTAATGTAGAAGAAATAACATGAAGAGAAGTTGATAAAACTAATTATATGGTAGAAAACCCACGTGGCTAGCTTTCTTCAATGAGAAGTGGTCAGAGAAACAGCTGTATGGGTAAGTACACACATAGGAAATACACCACTCGATTATACTGCTTGAAGGACCATATGCTAATCCTGAATCAAAGCACTATGTAAAATATATGTACAAGACAAGTGCTGACCATCGCAAGCCAAGGAAACATGTAATGGTGTGCATGTAAGTGCTTGCATTCCATGCAGGATGTAGCGTTTCCCTTTAGTCTTTTGAAAATACACAGTAAGGTGTTGAAGCACGGGATACGGTGAAGTCTGAGGTGAAGCAATGCTTGGGAAGGAGAATGTGTGTGGGGTTCAGACGAACTAAGCCAAGTTAGTAATTCCTCAAGCTGAGGACAGGCTCCACAGAGATGGTGAGATGCCAGGCTCTGCTGCGTGAAGGTGACACCCTCCTTATAACAAGTCTTTCAAAGATATTGTTCAGGCTGTGAATATAGCTCAATGTGTAAGGACCCTTGATGCAAAACCAAACTCAGTTTAAATCCCCAAAACACGTGTGAAAGCTTGGCAGGGCTCTGAGCATCTGTGAGCCCAGAAGTGACCCTGGCAGGTCACTGCCCAGTCAGCTTAACTGCCATGGGAAGTTTCAGGCTAAATGAGAGATCCCTTCTCACGCAACAGGGTAGAGAGTGACAGAGGAAAACAGCGGACTCCCGCCTCCAGCTTCCATGTGTGTCTACGTGATTCCCGCCTCCAGCTTCCATGTGTGTCTACGTGATTCCCGCCTGCAGCTTCCATGTGTGTCTACGTGACTCCCGCCTCCAGCTTCCATGAGTGTCTACGTGATTCCCGCCTCCAGCTTCCATGTGTCTACGAGACTCCCGCCTCCAGCTTCCATGTGTGTCTACGTGAGGATATAACAAACATCCAGAGGTGCTGTCTGAAATTTGTCCCTTGTGTGCCAGATAACCATGGAAAATCATTGCATTCGGCAAAAGAAAGGCTAAATTTAGATCATAGCTGAGGTCAGAAGTCTTTGAGGCAGACCAGTAACACCCTACTGTCATCCCGTATGTAGAGTTCTAAAGGACATATATGCTTTAATTCTCCTGCCTGCAGTAGCCAGAGAAATAACAGTGGAAAGGAATAATAGTGGAAAAGGAACAAAGGAGGTAAAAATGAGCCAGGAAATCATCTGACCTTCAAAAGGACTGCAGGTTTGGCAGATACCTGCAAACCACTTTTACCAAGACAGCCACACTGACACAATATAAGCAGCTTTACTTGTCACAGACATAGAAAACAACGCCCCAGTGCTGTCCTCTAATCAACTCTACAACCATGCCTCTGTGATGCTGCTGACTCAAAGAACGCTCACAGGAAAAAGCCAATGTGAATCAAGCACCATGAGCAAATACCACACTAAGCTCTTCTCTGATACCCCCAAATGATCCTCGGGCTCATCGTTGTAACTGAGGGGTACCCTAAGGGATAGCTCTAATGAAGCACCAAATACATCTAATTAATTGCATTGCTCAGGGCTAGAGAGAGACCAGAGGTTTCTGGAGCCCCAGGAGAATGGCCAGATTCATACAGAATGGAGCTACATGTTAGTGCGATTCCTGCCAACCAGTTCCCTGCCTCTTTGGATAGCTTATGCTACACCAATTTAGATCTAACTTTTGAGGTTCATCCTGCAGAAGAGTGACTCACATTATAGTGTTGTTCTGCCTTGCATTTTAGGTGAAGATGTATTTTAGGGACTCAGAAGTAGAAAATGCTAAGTGAAAATCAGCCCATACTATCAATAGGTTCATTGGTCCTCCTGAGTGGGTATGTCTGTATATTTGCATTTGTGTTTGTCTCTGTGTATATGTGTGTGTGTGTGTGCACATGTATGTATGTGATAAAATATAATACAGGAAGTTTATTAAAAAGGTTTTTAAAAAGGCTCTCTTGAGGGTGGAAGTGTGGCGGGGTATTTAGCTTAAAAAAAGACCACGAAAAATCCCCTGCCACAGCCATTCGCTCAAGATGAACACTGAAATTACACCGGAGACCACAAATCCCAACTCTCCTCAACCAATCGAACAATAGTTACAACTATCTATTCGATAATATTGAGCAATAAAAGACAGGCAGGCATTTTAAGGAAATCAGAGTGTTAGTCCTGCAATTACAGTTGAAGCTCAATTTATTCATAGTATTGCACAAATAAGCAAAATTCACATATAATTTAAAACTTCAAGCACAGGTTCCCAGATCTTCTTCAGCAATTCTTTATTAGCGCCGAATATCCACCAAGATTGATCGGTTTGTGACTCCGTGTCCCTCACTTGTTCTGGTTGTCTTTCTAAAGAGGCAGGGTTGCCTGAGTGGTGAGGACTGTGAAGGAGCCAGGAGAGGAAGTGGGACATGAGGAAGAGGAAGAGGAAGAGGAGAATCTGCAAGGCGGGGCGGGGCTTTATGGAATGGGACAGCAAAGTGCATACAACCAAGACAGGTTGGCTGGGGTCTGAATAATTGAGCAAAGGATGTTTATACCTCATCTCTCTTTAAGAATCCAAGTGCTAATGATTTTCAGTAATGCAATATGGTACTTTGTGTAGTGTAGTATTCAAGATCACACGCTATTGGTATGCAAGAACCCGTGCAATCATACTAGAGGATCAATAGTCCATCCTGCCTCTGCTGTCGGGGAGGTGGAGGGAGACACAGTTCCCAGTTAAGAAGGGTTAAGATGCCTGAGTATTTCTGTTTTGAAACAGAATGTGAAGACGTCCTCTTTTAGCCAAAAATCCAATTTAATCAATAACAAATTGAGCTACATAGGAAGAGATCAAAAGACATTTTGGAGAACCATCTATCATTTCTCGGAGCTCCAAACCTATTAAAACGAAGCTACCAGAAGGCAGTGTAGGCGGAATTAATGGGGCCTCGCTGTCGCCTCTCACAGTAATCATAATAATCAAAACCAGGAAGCAGTTGCTTTAAAAAATAACTCTGTTCATTTCGTAGCTGGCAGAGGGACCCAGCAAAGATTCGCCATAAAAGACAATTAAAGGCAACGAGGCTGTTTCAGAGAGGACTCACCTGTCTTTCCCAGTTTCCTCCTTAAAGACTCCATCGCAGTAACTCATCCGCTGCTCTGTGGTCACATAAATCTGTGCATTCGGATACTGATCAACTGTCTTTTTCAGCATGTTGTAGACAATGCCGTTTCCATCCTTCCTCATGTTGCGGAAAGGACCCCAAATAACATAAATGGTGGCGCTTGCCTCCTTGAAAAAATAGTCAGGGTTTTTCAGCAAAAGAGGCACGCTGGTATGCGACACGACCCGTACCATCGTCACATGGCCAACGTCCTCCTCAAAACCCTTGGTGGGAGCATTGTTCATTCTCCAAATGCAGGAAGAGTGGTCTATCTCCTCGCCCACCTTCTGTCCAGCCATCTGACCTGAATTCGACACTATGGCACAGTGGCCACAGTCCAGCTGCAAAGGCTGAAAGAGAGAAAAGCGAAGAGAGGTGTCAAACACGCTCTCGAGGAACCAGAATGTCCTGAGTATGGAGTCATCTCCCATGCAAGGCTATCCTGCAGTCACTGCTGCAGGTTACCAAGGTGGTAGACTAGGTCTTCCATTAGAAAAGCAAATGCTGTTGAAAACTGCTTACTTTCTGTATCCCTGTGCTAGTCTAAGGTTATGTGGAAAAATAGTCATTCGTTTTCACTCTCAATGATGAGTTCTTTTTAAACTTAGACCCATAATTTCAAATGAAATAAAATATGATACTATTTGATTTCTATGACAATGACGGCTATCAAAGAAACTCCAGTGCTCCATAGTTCACCACATTTTCCTCTTTTGACACAGGCTACTGTAGACAGGTTGAAAAACGCCTACAAATTCAGTGCCTTTGGTTTTTGTGTTGACCTTTCCCATATCAGTAAATAATCCTTGGAGAAAACTTTAATGCCTGCTCTTTGTTCAATTATATAGATATGCCATAATGTATCTATTTGCCTACTGCTGGGCATCCAGCTAATTTACGATTTACTTTCTACTATAAAAAAAAATACTTCGATAAATGTCTTTATGATTCCTGGAGTATTCTGGAGCCAACAGTTATTGTGTTAGCTTAAACTTGTTTCCTTTCTTTTCTATTTACTCTTGCGATGCATACACATCTGGCAAAGGCATCTGTGTGAGTTGTCAAAACTAAGAATTAGAAAAAACACAACCTGTTGGAGCTACTTGGGTGCATATGTAAGATGCCTTAGAATACTGGCTGGACAAAGGGTTCAGTGCTGCCAAGTACTTCCTGCTCTTACACAGAGTGGTGAGTCAGGGTCCAGCATCCACAAGGCGGCTCACAACCATGTGTAACTCCAGTTCTAGTGGATCCTGCACCTGATTCTAGCCTCTCTCAGCACTAAGTATGCACACAGTATACTTCCTCAATACACAATGCTCCTATACAATAAAAATGGATCAACCTTTAAAAGAAATACCTCTGTGATCATCAGGCATGGTGATGGATGCCTGTAACCCAAGCAATTGAGAAGTAGAGGCAGGAGGATCAAGAGCTCAAGGTCATCCTCGGTGACCTACAGAATTGGAGGTTAGTCTGGGATACCTGTTGCACTATTAAACAAACAACATTGTGATGAAGAAATTGTATATCACCCTGGTGAACTGTAGTAAACAGCCAATAGGCCAGACTCCATGGTACAAGAGGTCTGCCCCAAGTGGATGAGTACATTAAGACACTTGACCATGGGGTTTCTAGGCCAGTTCTATCACAAAGACTATTAAACGAAGGCAAAATGGAGTGACTTTTAGGGTCAGGTTGATGGAAAATGTCATTCTGTAAATATGTTTCTCATATTGGTTAATGAATAAGCACTGTTGGCCAATAGGAAAGCAAGATAGGCGGGACTAGGAGACTACGAGGAGAGAGGAAGGAGTAGGGAGGAGTTCCAAGATGGAGGACCTACAGGGTAGGATGCCAGTCTCTCTCTCCAGTAAGATAAGACCATGTGGAAATACTTAGATTAATAGAAACCGGTTAATACTAAAGACAGAGCTAGCCAATAAAAAACTAGTAACTGGCCAACAGCATTTATATCAAATACAGAGTCTCTGTGTGTTATTGGGGGCAGGTGCGGTGATGGGACCAGACCAGCAAGGTAAAACCTTACTCATAACATCAGGTGTCCTCTAAGGCATTACCTTGTCAATTAGAAGCCTACATATTTTCAGACAACATGGAAGAGTGAAATCTTGTAACTTTAGGTAGGGCTTAACATCAATTCGCCACATCCACGTCCTCCAAGCTCATCCTGAATCATGTACATCAATGCCTATTATAAACCATGGATTGCATGGTTTGCTCTGAGTCATCACCATCATGCATATGTGCAACAAGATTACACCCCACTGACCATTCCAGCAAGGTCCTTAAATAGGTAATAAAGCTGTATTTGGGGCACAGCATTCACATAACAAAAAATCAGAAAGAAAAGCCTCGGATATGTTCTGTAAGATGTGACGACTTGCATTGGATTTCCCAGCCATTATAATGAATTAGCCATTTCTGCTGTAACACAGCTTAATTTAGCTAATAGGAATCAGCAGGCTGGTCTCACTTGACAATTGTAACCTCTGAAAGTGATCCATTAAGACATCCCAATCTGTTCCATGACAACTCGGGGAAGCCACAGCTGTGCAGATTATGAGGTCAACAGCTGACTAGCAACGCAAAGGGCCAACAGTGAGGACAACAGGCTGTTGTTTGTGTGAAAAATACATGATGGGGAAGAGGGCTTCCAGTGCAGTGTCTTTGGTGGTGACGACACTTGAACTGCCCACTTCTATTCACTGTTTACTGAAGGACACTGCCACCATCACTAAAGTCTTCAGAGGCCCCGGAAGGTGCATTACTGGTCACAATCCTGTCTAGCTCTTTGACTTCCTGGACAAGGCATGGGGACACAGTGGGCATGCTCAGAGTGCTATTGGTCAGAGCTTCCCGAACTATTTCTAAGTATGGCGGAAGAGCAAGGCTGATAGACAAAAACCTTCCAAACTACAACCAGAATCTCCAAACTGTCAGAAGACTTGGCCATGCTTCCAAGGATGCATCCATGTGCTTGAAGGAAACATCAATTACTAGGAGCCTCGCCCAAAGGTAAGAGTACACGCTTGATCTGGCCACCACCTGGCTCACCTGGTTACCCCCATTTTTTATTACCTTTGTCCCCGCGTCTTTTGATCCCAACTTTGTTAATTGCATTGCTGTTCCTTGTGCCCATTTATATTTGATTTGGGAGCCTTGAGAACAAATGTATTACTTCATTCTGCCTCACTAAACAGTGACTCTGTCTTCTTGGATTGCGGGCCTGGGTTTCTTGAGATCTCAGTTAAGACTGATTTGGTCCAATTCACCAATCTCCACCTAAATTTCAAATTCTCCATTTAAGTTGAATTGTCTCTATTTTTTTTTTTATTTTCATTAAAAATAGCATCCCCCGTATGAAAACATTTTAAACCTTTTGCGTGGGAGAGGAACACAGGCTGATTTCAGGGACCGCTTTCTGGCAGCTATACCTCTGTTAAAGGAAACCTACAAATGCGGGAGGGGTAAAGTGGTTGCTTACAGTTTGGTATTCCAGGGTCAATGTAAGAGATTAAAATTGCTGGGCATGGTGACACACACCCGTAACTGAGAACACAAACCCAGGCTGATCCACAAAACTCACTGGCCAGAGGCGGAGCCCACCTGGTAAGCTTCGGGCAAGTGAGGGACCCTGTGTCTCAGAAAAGGTAGAAACTGTGTGAGAAATGACACTGGAAGTCGTCCTTTGACCTCTATGTTTATCCATGCGCATGCACTCGCACACACGCTCACAAAGAAAATCACGGATGTCTCTCTGTCAGCTTAGCAGCTGCCCGTGCAACTCCTGGCCTCAGGCCCTGCAGTCAACACCTCGGGGCCACTCAGCCTGCAGCCTGGAGGGCCTCCCAGCCTCCCAGCCCTGGCTCTGCCATGCTAAGGTCTGAAAGACTAAACTAAGCTCTATAGTTCTATTTACCAACAAAGATTTGGAAGTCAGAAGTAGGGGTGCGAACCTTCTAGATCAGAGGAGCAGAGACGCAACCAGCTGACCCTGCTTTTGGTCCAGAGACCCAGCAAGAGACAGTCACCCCCAAACCAAAAAGAAAGCGCCCAAACTCAAGTCTCCAGGTTCCATTCCATGTCTCTTGTCTATCCAAATCATTGGCTTCTCTGTGACCAATTGTGGCCAGTTAGCCACTAGCTCTGTCCCCTGACTCAAGGTGAACTTTATTAACAGTGGTGGGGTGTCACAGTGCAATCAAGACTCTTGCAGCAAACCACATGGTGCCAAACAATTCATTTTGTTTTCATTTTGTTCGCCATCTAAAAATATGGACTGAGGAAACGGCAACAACTCTTTATCTGTTTTTGAGTATGTCCTCCTTTTCAAAATCACACCAGCTCCAAGCTATCAAACTGAGCTATAAACACTGAGTTGGGGAACAGTTAAAAATTTGGTGACATCTATTGGACAACCAAATGATTTTTCCATGTAGTAGCTACCCTGCACAGGTACACTGAATGACAGGTCATACTTGAAGCCCTAATCAGGGTACACAGCTCTGATATATGAGGATAAGTTCTGTAGTCAAAGGGTCAGCTTCCATCCATCCCAGGCCACATCAGAAGCCTAAGGGCAGACCTCAAGAAGTAAGACATCTCCCACCAAAATGATTCCTGACATTTCATTTCCTACTAGGAAGAGAAGCTCTGGATTGTTGTTTGGGGCACAGGATGGGGAGGAAGCCCAAGGGGAAGCAAGCCTGAAAGAGAAACAGATGGACAGCTGCCCATATTGGCTGTGACTGACAGCTGCAATGGTCCAAGGCCTTCTTTTCAATATTGTAATCAAGCCTGGCGTTCAAGATAGACGTTTTCATTTGTTTATTTGTTATTTTCTTGGGCAGCTGATATAGATATGATTACTTTGTTTTGGAATGGATTTTCATTTATTGATACAATTTAAGGTCAATTTTGTGATATGTATATTTCTCCTCTTGTTTAGGTATTGTTTAGAAATGTAATGTATAATTCAATACAGATTATAGATAGTACCTATGATAGTCAGATCTTATAGTTAAGATTTCTAGATATACAGACATGTATTTGAGATAATTAGGAATTCTTCAAACCTTTCAAAGACATTGAAGAAACTCGTTATAAAGTTTACTTCCAATATGGCAAGACTAGCCATTTGGACAAGATACTGCTCTTGTCTGGACTGTTTGACTTTATGCTGTATAAACTGGACATGCAGGACCCACAGAAAAGTGACTGCTGATTCAAGATGGACATTGCTACAGAGTTCCTGCTTCATGGAAGAGTCTGCGAGACAGTATGCAGGACACAGAGAAAAGTGACTGACAAACTGCCAATACAAAAA